CTTACTGACCCTGGGTCAGACTCTCTTCGTGCTACCAGTCCTACTGTCACGCGTCTCCTGGCCACTGTTGTCACTGACCCTTCCTTTGAGTCTGCTGCTGCGTCTGCCTTAGTTGCTGAGCTTGTCGACTTTGCTGCTCGCTGTCGTCTAGACTACGCTGCTAGCCTAGTTGCTGAGTCTGAGTCTGTCTGTCCTCCGTCCGTCGGGGGTGAGTGTGCTCTTGGCACTGACGTCCTTGAGGACAGGCAGGAGGAGTTTGAGTGCTTTGCTGCCGCTTTGCCCCATCTCGTGTCCATGCTTGTTGCCCCTGAGGGAGACCCGGATGCACCAGACATCCCGACCCCACGCTCTTACGCAGAGGCGATGGCCGGTCCCTACTCCTCTCAGTGGCAGTCAGCCATGGACACAGAGATGGCTTCCTGGAAGTCCACAGGCACCTACGTCGACGAGGTTCCCCCGCCTGGGGCGAACATCGTCAGTGGCATGTGGATTTTCAGGGTGAAGCGGCCGCCGGGTTCTCCGCCTGTCTTCAAGGCGCGTTACATTGCACGAGTCTTCAGTCAGCGCGAGGGAGTTGACTTCTTCCAGACCTTCTCCCCGACCCCGAAGATGACCACTCTTCGGGTTCTTCTGCACGTCGCCGCTCAGCGTGACTACGAGCTCCACTCGCTTGACTTCAGCACTGCTTTCCTGCAGGGCAGCCTCCACGAGGAGATCTGGCTGTGCCGTCCACCTGGCTTCACTGGGTCCTTCCCTCCTGGTACCCAGTGGAGCCTCCGACGGCCAGTCTACGGTCTCCGCCAGGCGCCTCGTGAGTGGCACGACACACTGAGGACTACGCTTGCGGCTCTTGGGTTCGCGCCTTCTACTGCTGACCCGTCGCTGTTTCTACGCACCGACACCTCACTGCCGCCGTTCTACGTCCTTGTGTACGTCGACGACTTGGTCTTTGCTACTGCTGACACTGTGGCACTCGCCCACGTGAAGTCGGAGCTGCAGAAGAGACACACTTGCACAGACCTGGGTGAACTGACAAGCTATCTTGGCTTGCGGATCACCCGGGACAGAGCACGCCGCACCATCACCTTGACTCAGTCACACATGGTGCAGCAGGTCCTTCAGCGCTTCCGCTTCACGTACTCCTCGCCTCAGCCCACTCCTCTGCCTACCGGTCACTCGCTCTCAGCTCTGCCTTCGGATGAGTCCGTAGAGCCGAGTGGCCCGTATCCAGAGCTTGTGGGTTGCCTCATGTACCTGATGACCTGCACTCGACCAGACCTTGCATACCCTCTCAGCATTCTTGCACGCTATGTCGCTCCCGGCCGTCACCGGAAGGAGCACATGGATGCAGCTAAGAGGGTGTTGCGCTACTTGTGCAGTACGTCGGGCATGGGGCTAGTGCTTGGAGGGCGAGTCCCAGTTGTTCTCACTGGGCACTCAGACGCTTCTTGGGCAGACGACCAGGCTACTCAGCGGTCGTCTCAGGGTTACTCCTTCAGTCTTGGCTCTGGTTCTGTTTCTTAGCGTTCTACTCGCTCTTCTTCTGTTCTCAGCTCCAGTTGTGAGGCTGAGATCTACGCCACAGCCATGGCGGCCCAGGAGCTACGCTGGCTCACCTACTTGCTGACCGACCTTGGAGAGCAGCCTCGTTCTCCTCCAGTGCTGTACGTCGACAACAAGGCAGCCATTGCCTTGTGTGAGGAGCACAGACTGGAGCACAGAACGAAGCACATTGCTCTGCGTTACTTCCTTGCTCGAGAGCTGCAGCAGCGTGGTCAGCTTCGCCTGCGTTACGTGGCCTCTGAGGCCAACACTGCTGATGTGTTCACCAAGGCGCTTCAGCCTTGTGACCATCAGCGCTTTTGCACTCTTCTAGGCCTTGTGCCTACTGGACCTCACTTGCTTACTTCTTGAGTCTGTTTGTACTGTGATCTCTATATATAAACCTGCATGTGAACTGGCCTTGTGACCACTTGCTTGTGCTCGGAATTTGTGTGGTATCCTTGAGATCCACCCTGAGCTTGTTTTGCATTGCTTTGCCTTGACTGGTCTTGTGACCCCTAGTTCTCCCCCACTTTGCCTATGGGGGTGTGTCAAACATTATATATGTTGTGTTAGTTTAGGCTACAGTGGGTTAGCCTATAGGGGGTACACAATTCTAGGGTTAGGTACTTGTACTCTTTTCATTGCTAGTTCATTCATTCCTGTTCAGTGATTCCAACACAGGCAAGCTGGTCGACCGCCAGCGTAGCAAGGTCGACAATCTGCCAACGTAGCATAGAGGCACCGCGCCAGCGTTGCTGAAGAGCGACCCGCCAAAGTAGCAAGTCTGCGGCTCGCCAACGCTTGCACCAAGGCGGTTCTACCAGCGCTGCATCCGCAGGTGACAATAGCGCAGGTGCGCACCCACTTCGTAGGTGCGTGGCGACGGTCGAGCATGTCATCTATCGTCGTGCGGGTGCCAGGTTGACCACGTGCCAACACTCTCGCTAGAAGCTCCACGACGACCTTGGGATACCAGCCCAAGGTTGCCTTCGCCATCGCGACCTCGACGACGGTCGTGTGCCTCCGCAGATCCTCATCGAGGCAACCTGGTCGATTGGTTCGGTCACCCAGCGTGCCCCTGGTCGACGACCTCCTTCGTCTACCACCGCGCCCGTAGAAGACGACCATGGTCGATGGCCCATCCGTTGACCAACTCAGTCAGCTGCAGCCGTTGAGCTCCCACAGTCGACGACATTGTCGCAGCGGTCCCGTGCAGCTCGGCGAAACCCGTCGAGCTGATTGTCCAGGCTGGCGTCGACCACTACGTGCGGTCGGCTGCGTCTCCCATGCACCCGACCAGGAAGTCGGCGTCGCCCAAGCGAGGGCGGAGCCAACACTCCATTCCTGTTAATACTCCCCTGCCATGCTCATGCTTGGGCACCCTACCCGCATGACAGAACTCTACGGAGAAAACTCGTCGCCGGCGTGCATCCGACGCACAGCACGCCGTCACTGCTGCACATTGTCATAGCCGCTGCCGACATCGGCCAGGTGCACTTGGCCGATTGCGACGGCAGCACCAGTTGAAGGCCGGAAACTGCAGAGCCTTCATCAAGAAATCACTCGGCTGCTTGGTGGTCGGGATGTACTTCAGCACGAACTTCCCGCGTTTCGCTCCATGTGCTTGAGGTTGCCCTTCAGCCCCAAGCCTTCAGCTCGGCGTCCCAACGTCGAGCAGCTGGAACTCTGCAAGAGGGACGCGAATCCGGCGTCCCTCCTTGCCAGCTTCCGTGGCCACGACGTACTCCGACTCGATCGACGAGAGCTTCGCGCACTTTATGCGCTGTCTCGACCAGGAGATGGCGGCCCGTTGAAGACAAATACGTAGCCGCTCGTTCTCGTCCGATTCCGCTTGTCGCCGACGTAGCCGACCAAGTTCAGCGACTCTGCTCCACCGCCGAACTCCAGGGAGGTGTCACAGGTGTCGGCGAGGTAGGCGATGCAACTTTCAACGTTGCGCCAGTGCAGGTCGCTCCTCACTATCAGGCCGCTCCCCAGCTTGCTGCTCGCGAAGGCGATGTCTGGCCCTGTCATCGTCGCAGCAAATTGCAGCGAGCCGACCTTCTACCGGTACTCCTCCTCGTCGTGCTCCTGCGCCTCCTCGTCGTCGAATGTGAGCTCGGCATAGGCTTTGACGGGGACTGGCGTCCTCAGGATTTTCCCGGTCTGCTCCTCATTGATGGAGCACCTGTGCAGCTTGTCGACGTAGCTCCGCTGATACAGCCACAGTTTCCTCGCCGCCCTGTCCCGCACGATTTCCAGTCCGAGGTACTTCACGACCGGTGAGATCTTGCGCAGCTCGAAGGCTGCCTCTAGCAGCTCCTTGAGCTCCTTCAGCATCGCGGTGCTGCTGCTGGCGACGAGAAGGTCGTCGACGTAGACCAGCATCCAGCAGGTCACTCTGTCGTCGCCGACCTTGAAGTAGAGTGCCTCGTCGACCTGGCTTTTCTTCAAGTCGGCACCAGTCAGCACGTCGTCGAGCACCTTGTACCGCAACATCGGCGACTGCTTTTAGCCCGTATGGGCTCTTGAGCCGCTTGCACACCCGGCCGGTTCCATCGTTGTAGTAGTCTGGCTGGTACATGTACATCATCTGATCGAGCTTGCTCTGCAGGAAGGCGTTCTTCATGTCGAGCTGCATAAGGTTGAGGTCGAGAACAGCGAAAATGATGAGGAAGATCCTCAGCGTAACGTAGCTCCTGACTGGTGCGTACGTTTCTTCATAGTCAGCGCCATACACCTGCGTGAAGTCCTTTATGACCAGCCTCGCCTTCTCGCGCTCGACCGTGTCATCAATGTGGTACTTCGTCATCAACACCCACCAGTTCATAATGTTGACACCGCACGGGCGTTCGACCAGCTCCCACGTGCCGTTGGTGATGAGGCTCCAGATCTTCTCATCCATCGCAGCCTTTACCTCCTTTCCCTTCCAGCTCGGCAACGCCTCATTCACCGTTATCGTCGCGATGTCCCAGCGGTGCTCAGGGTCAGCGTGAATGTCGGGGCCGAGTTCGGGCAGGTCGATATCGGCCTTAGCGTCGTCGAGCAGCGTAGGGAAGGCGACTAGCGGCAGGCAGGCGTGTAAGCTCAGTTGTTCGGGCGGCTTCCGAATTCGACCGGAACGTCGAAGCTCGGGCTTCTCGACCGGAACCTCCTGACAGCTGTCGGTAGACACCTCTCCTGCCGACAGCTCCCCTTCGTCGTCGACGGCCTCGTCGTCTACGATCTGCTGTTCAAGGGTTGGCCCTTTGATCGGCTGCTCTCCTCTCGTCGGCCCACTTGCCGAATTCTCTTTCGTCGACAGCTCCCCTGTCGACCGTCCCATCTTTTGCACCTCTGTCGGCGACACTTCTGCTGCTACCTCCTTCCCGACCAGCTCCCTTGCCTTCTGCTCCCCTGTTGTCAACGGCTTCATATCCTCGTCAACGGACTCGGCGTCCTGTCGGCCGCCGGCGATGCCACTGGCCGGCGCCACTGGCGACGCCTCACTGCTCCCCTTATCGCCAGAGGCCGATGACCGGATCGACACAGGCATGTCCACGAGAAGGGGTGGCGTAACAGGAACAGGAGGAGGAGGAGGAGGAGGAGGAGGAGGAGGAGGAGGAGGAGGAGGAGGAGGAGGAGGAGGAGGAGGAGGTGGAACATCCTCAACGTCCTCGTCAGCAGGCTCGTCGACCTCTGCGAGCAGCGGGAACGTTGCCGTCGAGATGTCCGTCGGCGGGTGTGCTTCGTCCCGATGCCGGCCCATACTTCGCCTTCCACACCTCCAGCGACAACGTCTCATAGAAGATGACCTCGACCGACGTGACCACCTTGTTGTCCATTAGATCGAGCACTTCCTAGCCGTTGCTTTTCGGCGACACTCCCAGGTGAATTCCCCAGCAAGCCTTTGGCTCCAACTTCCCACCGCGCTGCTGCTCGGGGATCATGAACTGCACCATGCAACCCCATATCCGCGCTAGTGTGAGGTCAGGCTTCTTCCCGGTCAGCAGCTGGTACGGCGTCGTCCCCGGCGGCGTCGACGACCACTCCAAGTTGTTGCGCACCCAGATGGCCTGCCGCATAGCGAGATGCCACCGGTGGTGCTGCACTCCCATGTGCGACAACATCGTCTGAACCGACTTGACCACCGTCCGCATCTCCCGCTCTGCCATACCGTTCAGAAGTGGAGTGTAGGGGCACGTCAAGTCGTGGACAATGCCACTCCCGTCGACGAAGGTAAGTGATCGGCTGTCAGCCTACGAACAACTTAGATAAGTGATCGGTCGACTCTATGTGAAGGTCGCGAGTTCGTTCCACGCTCACTGCACCATGTATAAAGAAACTCTACAACGGTGGGAGCTAGACTACGAGGGAGGGTATGGTTGTGTGAGTGATTGTAACTGCTAGCTTAGGTTCTCTCTACGCACACATTCACAGGACGAATTGGCAAGAGTTTCACTAGCAATGATTGCATTACAGAATTACATAACAAGCAAATGAAAGAATGACTACATCAGAGCCTACCAACCTAGCAGGCAAGCTGGTCGACCGCCAACGCAGCAAGGTCGACTGTCTGCCAGCGTAGTGTAGAGGCACCGCGCCAGCGTTGCTGAAGAGCGACCCGCCAACATAGCAAGTATACGGCTCGCCAACGATGCTGACAATAGCGCAGGTGCGCACCCAATTCGTAGGTGCACGGCGTCAGTCGAGCGCATCCTCTACCGTCGCGTGGGTGCCAAGTCGGCCACATGCCGACACTCGTGCTAGAAGCTCCACGACCTCGGGATACCAGCCCGATGTTGCCTTCGCCATCGCGACCTCGACGATGATCGCGTGCCTCCGCAGATCCTCGTCGAGGTAACCTGGACGACCAGGTCGACCACCCAGCTCGACGACCTCCTTCGTCGACCACCGCGCGCGTCGAAGACGAACCTGGTCGATAGCCCGTCCGTCGACCAACTCAGTCAGTTGTAGCCGTCGAGCCCCGATAGTCAACGACATCGTTGTAGCGGTCCCCAACAGCTCGACAAAACCCGTCGAGCTGCTCACCCAGGCTGGCATCGACCACTGCGTATGGTCGGTTGTATGTCCCGTGCACCCGACTAGGAAGTCGGTGTGAAGAAAGAGGAATGGATGAACTAGAACAAGGTTGGGTACAAGTAGGAAACCCTAGGAAACTGTACCCCTTAGTGTCTACCCCACTATAGCCTAGACAAGCTATATGATAAATGTTTGACACACCCCCATAGGCAAAGTGGGGGAGAACAAGAGGTCACAAGACCAGTCAAGCAAAGCACAGCAAGCTCAGGGTGGATCACAACGTCACCACACATTCCGAACACAAGTTCAAAGGCCACAAGGCCAGTTCACATGCAGGATTATATATAAAGGTAAACATGCAGGTGCAGGTATATATAGATCACAGTACAAAGCAAAGTCAAGAGGTAAGCAAGTGAGGCCAGGTAGGTACAAGACCTCCAGTAGGACCAGTGTAGGGAGAAGGAGCAGGCAGTGGGGAGGCCAGCTGTAACTGTGACTCGGACTGGACAGGCGGTGGACACTCTAAGGAAGGAGCAGGACCAGTAGAAGGCGGAAGACCAAGAACCTGCTCAAGGAGCGGAACGAAGTACGGCCGTGGTCACGAAGCACCTCCAGAACCAGCAGAGACAGCACCAGCACCCCCAGCGTCAGCTCCGACTCCAGTAGCGCCACCAGCTCCAGCAGCACCACCAGCTGCTCCAGAAGCGCCAACTCCAGCGCCCACAGCAGCACCGGCTCCAGCAGCACCTCCAGCTCCAGCACCTCCAGCAGCTCCAGCTCCAGCAGGACCACCGGAATACGCAGCAGCTCCGGCTCCAGTACCTCCAGCAGCACCTACTCCAGCAGCACCGCCAGCTCCAGCACCGCCAGCAGCTCCAGCACCAGCAGCACCACCAGGCCCAGCAGCTCCAGTACCTCCAGTACGAGCACCTCCGGGACCCGTGGCTCCAGCACCCCCAGCAGCAGTAGAAACTCCAGCGCCGGCAGGACCACCAACTCCAGCAGCACGGCTCCAGCGCCGAGCAAACCACTCGCGCAGCTGCTGTGGAGAGAGTAGCTCCCGCCTGGACGAAGCACCCAAAGGACCGCCAGGCTCAGCACCTCCAGACTCCACACACGCAGGCTCAGCACCCTCATGCTCCGCACCCCCAGACTCAGCAACCCCAGGCTCAGCACCCCAAGGCTCAGCACCCCCAGGCTCCGCACGCTCAGGCTCAGCACCCCTAGACCCGGCACCCGCAGGCTCAGCACCCCTAGCAGCACCAGAGTCAACAGCTACCTCGACAGGCTCGACTGCGTCTACCTGGGACACACCTGAGGGGGCAGGACCCTGAGGGGGGAGGGGGTCTACCGGGGGGGGACCTAGCGCGAGAAAGAGCGGCGGGGGGGGGGAGGGGGGCAGCGCGGTAGGGGAAGAGACGGTAGTAAGGAACCGACTCGTCAAACGTGACGTCCAGGGAGGACAGAACACGGCGCGAGGTGGGGTGGTAAAACTGCCAACCAGGCGCGTCAGGGGGGGAGCCAAGGAAGACGCAGGGAACAGCACGGGAGGACAGCTTGTCCGCAGACAAGTCGCGGACGAAAGCTCGAGATCCCCAGACACGGAACGCAGACGCATCGCCAACCTTCCCCGTCCACCGCAGAGTAGGGGAGGTTTCCGGCATGGAGACCCGGGGCTGAAGGTTGATCTGATGCGCCGCGTACTGAACCGCGAACGGCCACAGAAAATGGGGAGCAGCCGCATGGATCATGGACGTACGAGCGACGTCCATGACCATGCCAATGCGGCGCTCAGCAATCCCATTTTGCTGTGGAGAGGCCGGAAGCATGAACGTCTGGCAGATGCCCTCCGCACGATAGAAGGCTCGCAGAAGGTCGGAGGAAAACTCTCCACCTCTGTCGGAGTGCAGACGCAGAACAGGAAGGTCTGAGCCGAAACTCTCTCTGAGCTGGAGACGGGCAGCGCGGATCCAGTCGATCAACACCTCAGTGACCTCACCCTTGCGGCGCAAGGGGAAGACTGTGGTGTAATGCGAGTAGTCGTCAACCACCAGCAGGAAGTAACGCTCGTGACCCTGTCCACGGACGCGGGCTGGGCCCCACACGTCCATGTGGAGAGTCTGCAGCGCAAGCCTCAGTCGGAGGAAACTCGGAGGAGTGAGGAGCGGCGCGCTGCCGCCCCTCGACGCAGGGAACGCAGGTAGGGGCAGGCCCCGGAGGAAGGGGAGGGAGGGACCGGGGGGAGACCAGAAACAAGGACACGGGAGGCCATGCCTCGGAAACGATGCAGGGAGGGGTGCCCAAGGCGGTGGTGCCAGAGGAGAGTCTGGTGGGACAGGAGGCGACACGAGCAGGGGGCAGACTCAGGACCAGACCGAGACGCTGCAGCAAATACCTGACCCGACGCAGTTACCTGACCAGACGCAGTAACCGGAGGAGACTCGGTAGTCAGTGTGTATAGGCTCGACCCCGGCTGACGGGTAAACGTGGCCAAGTGTCGGCCCGTCCGAGCACACGTGCAGTGGGTCACTCGCTGACTCGCAGGAGTGAACTGGTCAACCCCTCCATCCTGTAGGTCAGCACCACTCACCAGGTTCGTAGAGAACGAGGGGAGGTAAAGACCTGACAGGGAGCCAGACGGGGCCGCCGGACACGGTAGGATAGTGGAGTAGTGGGCAAGGACAGGACCCCCAGAGGGGTCTGCCAGGGAGACTGCAACCGGCCGACTAAGCGGCGTGAGTGTGGTGCGGTCTCGAAAGAAGGAGCGGGAAGCACCCGAGTCAAGGGTGAAGGTGTGCAAGACCGCAGCAGGCGCGCAGCACCAGTGAGAGCAGACTCACCAGCACCTGGAGCAGTAGACTCACGAGCACCTAGAGCAGCAGCCTCACCGGCACCTGGAGCAGGGGACGTACCAGCACCTAGAGCAGCAGCCTCACCAGCACCTAGAGCAGCAGACTGGATACCGGGGTCAGGCGGCACACACAGGTGACAGGCACCCTCAGCACTAGTAGACAATGCATACATGGCAGTGAGGATAGCATCGTAGTCAAGAGCAAAGATATCTACCCTCTGCCTAAGCAGCTCCAGCCAGGAGGGGAGCTCAGCGTCGTCGCCAAACTCTGTACGCCAAGCGTCGCTCAGACGGGCGAAGCAGCGGGACTCTGTGTGACCAGGTGTCCCGCAAGGCTGACCAGTCCGGACACCCATGCGAATGACGTACGGGCAGCGAGCAGTACTCAGTGACCCTCTATTCTGAGCGTACCACTCGCGAAGCTCCTGGGGCGAAAGGGTCTCGCGCGGACGACGCTACAGCTGCACCTGGCCACTATACGAAGCTCCCGAACTACTCACTCCAGGACGACTCCCACTACGGCCACCCCGACAACCCCAACTAGCGTACCACTCACGAAGCTGCTGGGGCGTGAGGGACTCACGCGGACGTCGCTGGAGCTGCAGCTGTCCACCGCCAGGAGTAGCAGTAGCAGTAGTAGTAGCAGTAAGTAGCCGCAGCAGTAGTAGTAAGCAGTAGTAGCAGCAGTAGCAGTAGTAGCCGCACTAGCAGCAGTAGCAAGCAGTAGCAGTAGTAGCAGCGCGGCCACCCCTACAACCCCAACTAGCGTACCACTCACGAAGCTGTTGGGGCGTGAGGGACTCACGCGGACGGCGCTGGAGCTGCATCTGGCCACGCCAGGAGCAGCAAGTAGCAGTAGAAAGAGCAAGTAGCAGCAGGAGCAGCAGTAGTAACAGCAGTACGGGCAGGGCAGTGCTCACCAGTGGCGAGAAGGGCAGGCGTACGACGGCAGCAACGGCGAGGCCGCTACCACTGCAGGGCGAGGGCTCCGCGGCAGCTGCAGGGGCGGCTGCTCCAGGGGCGGCTGCTCCAGGGGCTAGGGGCGGCTGCTGCAGGGG